CGACCATTTTTCACACTTAGCGACCATTTTTCACACTTAGCGACCATTGAAGCATCCTCATGGGCACGTGCTCAAAATTTTGATATTTGGCAACAGATTCATATTTATGATGCTTTCAGTGTCCTGGGGTCATATAATCGCCTTGTGTGACCTTTTGACAAAATACAAAAATTTTAATCAAGCCCCCACCCCCACCCCTCACCCCAGTCAATGGTGTCCCTCTTTACCAATCTGAAAATCTGGTCACCTTATGCATGATGGCAACTTTATGATCCTTTAGAGTTCAATTTCTTAAACTGATCTTTTCTTTAAAAAAATTCAGATTTTTGTGCAAGAATTGATTTCAAGAAACTATTTTACTATTATAGTAAAATTGTATCAGTATTATTATGAATTATACTTTTTTATTCACTTTTACACAAACTTACTTTCCTCTAATTTCTAGGGGAGTTGTTACAGGGATTCTTTCAAATGAAAGTTATGCAAGTACCAGTAGCCCAAAATAGTAAACCAATCATCCTGAAACATACCCTGCTTTTAGCAAATACCAAAAATTAAGCTATGACTACCAGACAGTAAACAACTTGACATTTCTTCATATACATTGTAATGGAACAAGCCAGATTAATACCACTGTCTTTCTTTTCTTTTTTCCTTTCTCTCTTCGGTCTTCAATGCAATTTATACTGCTAACCATTGATGTCATAATGTGTTGAAACTGTGCACAGTTGTGCTGTAAATAATACCTTTCTGATGTAGTTAAATGTTATCCTCCCAGCAAGGCAATTTTTCGGTAGCTTACTTATTCTTTGTGGGTTAGACATTTTTCTTGGCTACAGCTGTCATGTGGGAGGATGTTTGAAAAGCTTCCAAATTAACCCAGCTCTAGAACTGAATTATACAGCATGCATTAATAGAGAGAATAGTATTGCATATGTGCATGTACGTTTTATATATTTTATGGATCTTTCAATCTTTTAAGATATTTGTTAATTTAAAGATAGTTTAAATGTGAATCACTCTTCCAATCTTGTGTTTAATCGGTATTCAATAGAATGGGCCACCAAGTTATTGCCACAAAATGAATAGCAAGTTACACAGTACCTGATTGTTACCCTATTTCCTAGGTGGCACACGGAGCCATTTGTCAGGGCACGCGAGGTGTTGCCCTGTCAGCTGGGCAACACGGCCTAGGTTTGGCCTTCTTTTGAGGCCATTTTTGACTTCAGCCTTCTTTTGAGGCCATTTTTCGCCCTCCGGAGAGCAAAATACGACCTTACGAGTAAACCAGAAGTGACTTCCGGTTTGCTTGTAGGACCGGTTTTAGCCCACCAGAGCCTTCAGGGAAGCTTCCTGAAGGCCCCTGAATGCTCTGGAGCATGAAAAATGGGCCATATGGACAAACCAGAAGTCACTCTGGTTTGCTCGTAGGGTCATTTTTTGCCCTCCGGAGCCTTCAGGGAAGTCTCTTGAAGGCTCCAGAGGGCTAAAACCAGCCCTACGAGCAAACCAGAAGTCCGTTCTTGAATTTCCAGTTTGCCCGCAGGGCTGGTTTTTCTTGCTCCGGAGGCTTCAGGGAAGCTCCTGAAGCCTCTGGAGGGCCTCTGGAGGGTGCTGTTTTCATCCTCCCCATGCTCCAGGCGCCTTTGGAGCCTGAAGAGGCTGAAAAAAAACCACGCCAAAATGGGGGGGGGGGGGAGAGTGCTGGTCATGCATGCAGGTGCGCTGGAGTAATGCGGATAGCATTATGGGTGTGGAATGCCCATGCACAACACCCCCCCCCACGCTCCCTTATATAAGACCACACTGCTTGCATCTGCAGATATATTATTAGGATATCCAAGGTTCTTAGGAAGAACTCTGTATGAGATTTGTATGAAGGCCAACATCATTTAAAGAATACAATGTGTGTATATAATAATAAGTTAGGAGCATCTAATAAAATTGCAATAATTCCTTTTTCTTAGGGAAAACCGGTGGTAGTTTTCTTTTTAAGCCTGTGGATTTTGTTTTTTTCCAATATATCTACTAAATCAGGCATTACTTTTCTACTACAAGCTGAAATCAGGCAAGTCAGCTGGGTGACTATGGGTGAGTCTGTCTCAGTCCAAACCACCTCACAGGGTGGTTGTTGTAGATTAACAAGGACGAAGGCGTATATTCGCTGCCTTGAATTACTTATAAAATAATAAAAGTGGGATAAAAAATTTATTATAATAATACCCAAAAGTGGGATTAAAAAAAATATGATAGTAAATAACAATACCCAAATTGGCCGGCCTAGAAATGTTCCGATCAACTTTAAAAATGTGTTTAGGTTATCATAAACGTCAGCTGCACGTGTTAAGTCACACACAAAGCAGGAAGGGGATCCATACCCACCGAGCGTGACATCAGGAAATGCTTTGAAGACACTTCCTGTAAAGAAAAAAACGTGAAATCCCGGCAGGCCGTCACGTGGATTGACGGTTGATATGCGGAGGGAGGGCGGAATTTCCATGGCAGCGCGCGACAGTTTGCTGTCAGTTATTGTTAGAGGCAGCTTCACTAATCCCGTAAGAGTACAGAATGACCATATACCAGAAACTCTTTTTACCTATTGTAATGTTCATTCCTGATTCATGACCTCAACCGATATTACCGTCACCTTTCCTCTTCACCTTTTATCGGCAAATTCCCCAATTTTCTCCGCCTCGGTGACGCTTTCTCCTCCCGACAGCCTTCAGACCGCCTGAAAGCAAAACTCCGCCTCGAAGGCCGATGCGCATGCGCTACAGGGCCAGCCGAGTTAAGGTTGAGCCTTTCTAACTGCCGCCATTGGGCCTCGGCTGTTTTTTGAGTTGCTGCCGCCGACATGCCGAAGCTGAGCAAGGAAGCTAAGCAGCGACTGCAGCACCTCTTCAAAGGTGGTCAGCTGGCCATCCGCTGGGGCTTCATCCCTGTCGTGCTTTACTTAGGTCAGTGTGGGTAGTCGGTTTTAAAGCGATGAACTGCCAAAAATGACGAGGATTTCCGTTATTCGCCTGAGCCACCTCTGTAGTCCGTGGAGGCTCAGGTGGGCATCTGTAATCGTCCCTTGCGACACGAGGAATGGGGAGTTGAGGTCCTTCCCCCACCCCCACACCGATGGTTGTTCTTGGTCCCTTCGAATTAAATTTGCAAGATAGGCCCAATCGGTTTCCTTCTAGGCAGCACCCGTTGACAGAGGCTTTTTAAAAGGACACTGACAACGTTGGGTTATGACAGAATAGGAACTAAATGATAACAAGTTCACTTTATTCTCTCTTTGAAATGTAATGGAAACAACCTTAAAGACCAGCCAAAAGATTAACAGAATTCGTGTCCAGCAAAAAAAAAAAATCAGTCCTGATATTACACTTTGTAGGATGTCTCTGTAAAAAGAAAATAAATCAAAGAATGGAAGGATTTACAGCACATCTTTGAAGTATTGACTTTCTGTTGCCAGTAATCAATAGTTTGAGGTAATATTCTGCCTTAACCAAATGTGCCATACCAAGATCCTGTTAGAATAGGTACTTGTGGAATAGATACCTTATTTGAGTTGATGCAGAGAGGGTGGTCTCTTTTGTACATCTGTCTCAACTCTGCACATTTTTGGATTGACTTGAATTATTTTATTTTTACCATATTTGTTTTACTATATATGGAATGCCTATTGATCAAAACTGTGGTGAAATATGCAACCGATATATATGCTAAATATACATAAAATAACATTTTCTACAAAGGTTTTCATCTTGTTTAATATCAAGGCTGTTGAGAAAGCTAGCACATGGAGATAATTCTTTTCATATACAGCTCTGCCCACAATCTTTCAAGGAATTGCTCAACGATGGAATGGGGTACAATTATGAAAAACAGCTAATGGATAAACTAAAGTATGTCTTGCAAATATTCAGCAAGAAAAAAAATCATACAAATGAACTTTTGCATATTTTTAAACTACAGAGTAAATTCAGAGTTTGAGCTTATTTTCTGGAAAAATAACTGAAAGATAGAGTGGCCTCCTTTGGATCTCATTTTAGATCCTAATTTCTATGATTTATTAGAATATTTTTTCACAAGCTGTGACTGGGTTTATATAATATGCTAAGCTATACCACCATGTAGTTTTGTGAAACAATAGAACATTCAATAAACTGGTCTAGTTTATGAACAAATGTAGCCAAATAAAATATCTAAATGAAAGCCTTGCAAAAATATGAGTGAGAGAGAAGTGGAAGATGGATGATGAATGAATGATGATAAAACGATCAAAAGAGTTGACTTTTCCTGCTGTTGCCCATATATGAAACATAAGTGGAGTACACTATAATGGATACTCATTCACTGATTCACCTAGATAACAGTTACTGAAAAATCAAAGCTTATCTGTGCATGATGGGTTTGCAAATGGTTATAGAACACTACCATTTGCTTCTAACTTAATATTGCTTCCAGTTCTAGCTACAATCCATTCTTGTTATGTGTTCTATGAAATAAGAAGCAGAGGATGAAAATTGGGAGAAATATAGGACTGAGAGTATGAATGCTGAAACAAGACGACAGAGCATTTGGCTAGTTTGACCTTAGCTGGGAACATGCACACTGGGTGAATCAATTTTTTTTTACCACTCTGACCATGTCTGTAAATGACACTTCCTGTAAAGAAAGTGTCATTTACTGTGAAAGCACTGCAAATGTTGATTTGCGGGTTACAAATAATAATGACGATTGATTATAGTGTAACTATTAGTAAGCAATTTTCTGAGTTGACATATTCTATAGAGTCTTTTTTCCCTAATAAATAAACATTCCATTTTTAATGGGAAAACTGAAATACTAATCTGTATTTAGTACTTTACATGTAAATTAATCTTATATCTGCTTCTGTGAGATAATAGTGAGAACCATGAGAAAGAGAAAATTAAAGCAAAAAGCACAGTGAATGAGTATTTGCTCCTAAATAATTGCATAGGTAATTGTACATTTGTATAATACATTTATGATTCATATTTAAACAAATAGTATATTCTGGGTAGTGATTTTACAATTTACTTTAAAATGACTGTTATTGAATCTGGATGCAGAATTATATTTAGATGAATTTTTATCTAAAATAATCATTTCATTCTCATTTTCATATGTCTTAGCTATATGTCTTTTGTTGTTAATTGTTCATGAAAATTTTTAATACTGGCTTGAGAAAAAAATAATCTGTTTTAGCACATTGTTAGAATATTTAAAGTTTTTAAATGAGAGGATAAAGCAAACAAATTTAATGAATACATATTTTTGTTGGCAGTACATTTTTTTGCAGTCTCACTAAGCAAATAGCTTAACTTGCTAGTACTTAAGACAGCTCTTTTCTGCTTCTGCTCAACAGCAAATAAAATCCTATTAGAAAAATAGAATCTGTTCATGGTTATAGATATAATGCCAAGAAATTGACCAACTAGATATCAGAGGTCTTTTAATATTTTTCCTTCCCATATCGGTATGTATTGGAGGATTTCTAGAATAAGTAAGACACAATATTTGAGTTTGGTCACTTTTAAATGCAGTATGTGAACCTAATCTATGGAAGTTGGGAAAGGTAATGCATTCAATATAATATGTGGTTAATTAATTAACCAACAAATGTATTTTATATTATGTAAGAAGACCAATAATATTTTCATAAAGTTTACAATTTTTATTGTAAATAGGTTTTAAGAGAGGTGCAGATCCTGGAATGCCTGAACCAACTCTTTTGAGGTATGTGGTTATTTTTAAACCACCTGCAGAGTACTGTAGGCAGCAACATACATTACCCATGGATTATTTTATGAAGTTCTGTTATGTTCTGTTAATATAAAATTCTATAAACTTTTATTAATTTCACATTATGTAAAATTCTGTCTCAGCACCTACCCTTAGGAATGACCATGCCCCTGAAATATCAGGGATTTTCATCTTGATGACATTCCAAAGAGCATTAAAGATCTGACTCTTCTGCCATACTCTGGTTAGGATAACTGAAGCCCCTTACTCATTATGTGATAAGTCTTTCTGTATTGTTGACCAGATTAACTATCTTGTTCATTTATAGAATAGTTTTATTTTGTCTTTTTAGCAACTGTTCTTAATACTAAAGCCACTCAGAGCCACTTTAACAACTACATTGGATAAATAAAATAAAAATAAATAAACATCTAAACAGATATAAGATAAATAATCTGCAACTATTAGTTACCGTATTTATCGGCGTATAACACGCACCGGCGTATAACACGCACCCCCCATTTTAACACAAAAATTTGAGTAAAAATTTTTTTCATTAAAAATAAATGACTTGGAAGCTCGGAACTTAATGTTGGATTAAAATTTATAACATTAGAACATGAATTATAACATTAACTCCTCTTAAAAGGCAAATATGAAATGAAAAAACACCTCTTTGAGCAAAAAAACTTAATCAGAATCACTGCTTTTTG